GGAGAGAGTAAAGGGGAGCTAAATGGTGATAGAAGGAGGCTTGACTTGGGTGGTGAACACAATACAATATATAGATGATGTATTATAGGATTGTACACTAAACCTATATAATTTTATTTTATTTATTTGTTTATTTATTTATTAACATATTTTATTGAGTTTTTACAGAGAGGAAGGGAGAGGGATAGTTAGAAACATCAATGAGAGAGAAACATTGATCAGCTGCCTCCTGCACACTCCCCATGGGGGATGTGCCTGCAACCAACGTACATGCCCTTGACTGGAATCGAACCTGGGACCCTTCAGTCTGCAGGCCGATGCTCTATCCACTGAGCCAAATTGGTCAGGGTATATAATTTTATTAACTAACTAGAGGCCCAGTGCATGAATTCGTGCAGGGTAGGATCCCTCGACCTGGCCAGCGATTGAGGCCTATCAGAGGGCCAGCCAGCCAGGGAGAGGGACCCCAGAAGGTTGGCCAGCCAGCCCCCCCAATCTGAGCCTATGTGGGGGCTGGCCAGCTGGGCGGAGGGGCCATGTGAGGTTGGCCGGCAGGGGGGAGGGGGGAGCAGGGGCTGTGGGAAGTTGGGGGGGGGAAGGTGTCACAGGAGGTTGGCCAGCCAGGGGGAGGGGCTGCAGGAGGATGGCTATGGGAGCACACTGACCACAAAGGGGCAGTTCCTGCATTGAGTGCCTGCCCCTTGGTGGTCAGTGCACCTCATAGCGACTAGTCAACTGGTCATTCCGGTCATTCGGTCTAAAGGTCGCTTAGGTTTGTATATATATAGATGTCACCCCAGTAAATTCAATAAGAGGGACTAATTAAAATATATATATTCATGTTAAAACACATAGTCACAAAATAGCATAACAGATTTTATAACATTTAACAAGTACAGTTATCAAACACGTTGAAGAGGGTTCCTATGAAGGAGATGGAAAGGGGTATGGGAATTAAAGGAGAAAATATAAAATAATTAAAACGAGAGAAGTCTTGTATAGACTGGTAATGACAATTTGCCTTAAACAGAGTGGTATGTTTAATTCACCTCTCTGTATTAAATTCAATTTTTAAAAGTATGCATATATGTGTATGTGTATTATATATAAATGTCTGAAAGGGTATATACTAAAATATTAATAGAGGTTATCTCTGGGAGTGGTATAAAATAGGTTGTTTTTTTTCACACTGAATAAATATTGTGTAATAAGTAAAATGCATTTGTGATGTTTCAAATGTTCTTAATATTCAGAACTGCTGTTGGATAAATGTACAATAACCCACTAAATTCAGCTGCCTGTGCGGTCACCGTCCTTTTATTGTTTTTCCAGAATGTTCCAAAATAGCTTTTAGAACAAGACCAGTGGGACCACCAGATAGCTATCTAGCCTCACCCTTCTTCCCATGCAAATGAAGACCAAGCCTCCAGTCCAGCTTTGGCAGAAACCTCTATGGGACGCAGAATAACAAGGCCCTCTCGTTCTAGGCTGAAGAAAGGAAGGGCAGCACTCCGAACTCTCTCTCAGAGTCCGTTTACAACAACGTCTGAAAAGCTGCCTTGGGCAACAGTTGCCAAACACAAAAGGTTCCACCTCAAGGGTGGAAATTCTATTTGCAGCTTTGTAGACACAGGTGTTCCTCCAGGAGACTCAAGACCTACAGTGCTGGACTGTGTTTGGCCAGGAATAGCCCAGAAAGCCTTCCCCTCAGAAGCCAGCTCTTGAGGCCTTTGGTGTATGTTCTAACTATATTTGGCAATGAAAACCAAAGAGGTCAGTGGCTTAGCTCAGTGGGGGGGCAGGAGGAGAAGACTAGTCCTGATTTATAATCCCTACTTCAAACCAAGACCAAGAATTTTAAAACTCACTTCATTTATTTATTTTGCCCTCACCGAGCATACCACTGAAGCAGCTCTTCCCAGTCCAACCAGCCTCATGTAAATCTTTCAGAACCACAGGTGTAAATCACCTACCCATGCCATCCCCGGATTAGAGGACATTTGGGGACATTTGGCTTGAGAATCCAAATGTTAAAATTATCCCACTTTATTCTCTCTGTCTTCATAACATCAAAATAGCCTGTAGCCCTTGCGTGCAAATCCAAACTCCAGCACTCAACTACTACTCACTGTGTGACCTTGGCCAGTTACTCTGTGTCTCTGAGATTCAGTTTCTTTATCTACAACACGAGATAATAACACCTACTTCACAAGGCTGCTACAAGAATTAAATGAGATAAGGTATGAAAAGCGGCTAGGAGAATGTCTGATACAAAGTAGGTGCTAAAAAAAAAAAAAAGAAAGAAAAGAACCTGTTTCTATTTGTCCCCCAGACCCCCTACCCACAGTCACTCCCTTCCACTTCCACCCTTAACTGTGCAGCCAAGGTGTTGGATTTTTAAGAAATCGCCCGGCACCCTGTTTGATTACAAATGCATGGTACCGTTCCCACAGCCAGCTACAGTAGCTAAAGATAAAAGCTGTGTGTACTCCTTAGCTGCAGACAGGTCGAATCAGCTCACAAATGATTCATCACTGTTGATAAATGACATGTTCTTGGCGTCAGAAGGCCTTATCCTGACAGGCTTCAACACCTTATGAAAAAAAATGCAGAAGGTAGATTGCATGGCTCCCAGAGTAGGTCCCCAGGGTTGATGGTGACCTCAGTCAATCCTGAACTTGTACCCGTCTGGTCTTAAGAGAGTCTCTGTCTCTTCAGACATGTCTCCAATCACAGGATTTTCAGTTGGAAAGGACTCCAGCTGAGCAGCTGCCTCATTCAGCTCAGAGCTAAACCATCTCCCTCATTTGCCTTGGATCCCCTGAAGGGAGTCATAAGACTCCCTGGGCAGAAGGCTAAGTGCCTGTTCCCTGCTCAGGACAGCCCCAAGCTGTGCCCAACCTGTCTTTGGCAGCTTGTTCTGCCGGCTGAAGCTCTGCCAGGGTGCGGTCTGGCTGGAGGGCTCTGTGGTGATGGGGCAAACCTTGGCTCAAGGAAAAGGGTGAGTATTTCATCCCAAGCCGCTGTCTGCGAGGCTGAGGTGTCTGCTGCTCTCTGTAGTTTCTGTAGCCCTTTCAGACCACCCAGAACGCTCACTGGCACAGAAGTTCCATGACTGTAAGTTTTAGGCATTCGTTCATTCATACATACCCTGTACCCTTTGCAATGCCTAGCACAGAGTTCCCTCCAAGTGGATGTTTATTAAAAGGCCCTTGGGGACAAGGATGGTTGTGGCTATATTTGCAGGCCCCTCAATTCTAATAAATCTCACAAAATTAACATCAAATACGACAATGAAACCCCATGGAGATTGACACCATAGACAGCCAGGTGCCCAGTACTGAGGCCTTGTCTGGTCTGAAGGAAATTCCATGTGCTGGAATTCCATATGCTGGAGCTTCTTCTAAATTGAAATGCTTCAGAAGCAGGTTGCTTTGGACCCCAGGCCTAAAACCAACTTTTCTTTCTTTCTTTTTTAAAAATGTATCTTTATTCTTGAAAGTATTCTTTATGTCCCCCCTTTTTTCCCCATTGACCCTCCCCCAGGCCGTTACCACACTATTGTCTGTGTCTATGAGTCAGCATGTAAGTTTATCTCTTTCAATGTATATGCAAGCCTTTTCTGAAAGGAACTATTCTAGGCCCTCGGAAGGGGCCTTGTGATATGCAATCGATACAAAAGGCCCAGGAGAAGGTTGGATACTGGACACATTTCCATTCTCCAAGCTCACCCTCCGACTTTCTTCACCAGGAAGATTTCTGAGATCACCTACTAGCATAAGCACCAACGCTTCAGCCACGCCTTGAAGTAGAAAGGCCAGGGAAACTTCTGGAAAGGACAAGCAGTTGGTCTCCCCTTCCCCAGTAGTCTGGGTCTTCAGGATACGGGGGGGGGGGGGGGGGGGGGGGGGGGGGGGCGGACACGACGAATGAGGCAGGAAAATCAAAATCAGGGGTGTCTCCTCTTTTCTTCCCCTTCTGTCCTAGTCCCATGTCCCCTTGCCCTGTTGTCACTCAATGGGGCTCAGCGTCCAGCTTCTATCACCGGAACTGGGGTCAACTTCTAAGATGATGAAGCATAAAGAAAGCAAAGCGGAAGGAAGGAGAGAAAGGAAGGCTGGAGAGAAGTGAGAAAAAAATGAGAAAGGCTTGGGGAGGAGGAAGGAAGAGGAGAGCAGCAAGGGGAGATGGAACAATGAAGGTCTGAGGCTGTCAGAGGCGCACGGTTCCTGCGGCACGTCCCTCCCGCGTGCCTCCAGCCCGCAGCTGCACAGCGCGCAGCGTGTGGCCGCTGAGTCACAGTCCCCGAACCGGAGCCGCCGTGCAGGCCTGGGGGGCTGGCCCTGCTTGGCATCTGCGGACTGTTTTTTTTTTTTTTTTTTTTGTCTTTCCTCTTTCATTAAGGCTATGTGCCGACTCCCACGTAGGAGAGCTTATTAAACCTCACGTACTGCCTGCCGGCTCTCGCGCTGGTCCGAGGCGGCCGGCTGGGGGCGCCACAGCCTCGCTTATGAGCCCGCCGGCACGCTGGGGCACCCGGCCTGCAGAGGACTGAGGTGTGTCGCCCCGCTGCCGGTTTCCCGGGGGAATCGGAGCATTTTGCCGGAGTATCCTCTCACTCGAACACCGCGGCAGCCCTGGGGAGCTCCTCCCTTAGCAGGCTCCGGAGACCCCCCCGCAACCATCCGAGGCGCGCTTTCGCGCAGGGCCTTGAGCAATTCCGTAAAACCTGGGACGCGCAACCGGGAGAATCTAGGCGGCACCTCCGGCGTCCCCGCAAAGTCTTGGGCCATCGGTGCAAGGCTCCGGGCGCCCCGCAGGAGGAGCGCGACTCCTGACAGCTCAGTGGGCGCGGAGAGGGGCCAGCGCCCACCCGCGCAGCTCTCCCACCTCCCCACGCCAGGCAGCGCGACCCAAAGGCCCCCAGGCCGCCCAGGACCAGGGGTACCTTCCCTCCTCCCCACGACGCGTGACCCGAGAATGAATCAGCATCGAGACAGTTTATTGGTTTGCTAGTTCGCATATCACCCCTTTAATGTAAATAGATTATACAGAGACGCGGTGTTTCCTTCTCCCACAAGAGGTAATCAGTCCCTTCCACACACACAAACTCGCACGCATCCCACGCAGCAGACAACGTTACACCTCGCTGAGACATTCACGTATTAAAACACTGAGGAGGGGGACAATACAATTGCTTTAAAATGCCCTTAATACAATATATATATAATGTACAAAAATAGCTCTATATCTGAAGTTACGAAAGAAATCTTGACAACAACAAACTTAAATATAGATAGTTACCTCTGTATAGACAACACGCATTGCACTTTTCCTCTCTAGGTTTTGGAAGGTTCAAGTAATAGTGGGGCTGGCGCCCCGGTGGGGTGACACCCCGTGAGAAATCAGCTTGGGGGAAGGCATGGCAGCGGCTCGGACCCTGGCACCGGCAGGGTCTCGGCGTTTTATTCTCAGTTTCTCTCCGGGAGCCTGCAGGTTCTACTCCCTGGGATTCCTCGGCCCCCTCCCCGCCCCCCGGAACACCCAGGCCGGGGTTGGGCGAAAGGAACGCCGCCTCGGAGGAGGAGAGACCCCTGCAAAGCCCAGGGCTCGCCGCAGGAAGGTGCCTTCGGGACTCCAGGTCTGTGCAGGGCGGACTCAGCCCGGTCCGCGCTGAGAGGCTCGGTTCGGGAAGCCCTCCGCCTCGGGAGGCTCCATCCGAATGCAAATGCGACTGAAAGCTGCTACCACAGTTAAATCCTAAAGAGGGTGGCGAGCACTTGATTCGAGCGGGAGGCTGGAGCCAGGCGTGCGTGCGGCTGTGGGGACAGCAGAGTCCGGCCCGGGCCGGCCTCGGGCAGGGAGCGCCGGCGCCTGCGGCCGTAGCCCTGCGGGCTGATCTTGTTCCTCGGGGCGACGCCGTCCTTGTCCTTGTCTGTTAGCTGGTAGATCTGATGCGCCAGCTTCTGCACGCTGCACGTCCCGAAGCGACAGCCGGAGCTCCGCAAACCTTGGTATCTGTTCATACTCTGGCGGTAGCGCCTGACTCGGATGCGGGCGGTGTCCGGACTGCTGGAGAGGAAAAGGACGGCCCATGAGACACCCTTTCCAGCAGGGCTCGGGCCCCCGACACCGGGAACGGGGGCCTTCTAGGACCAGAGGGGACTGAGAACTGCTACCGCGTTCTCAGCGGCCACACTGCCCTGACGACGCCCAGGGCCAGGGCGGTGAAGAACTCCCCTTGCCCACCCCGCAGCTGCAGCGCTGGGCATAGTTACCTGGCCTGGGTGCCGCGAGAGGGCCCCTTCACGTCCTGTGGCTGAATGATGGTCTCGGCCAGCCCGGCCTTCATGTCAGCGAGCCCCGTGGGGTAGCTGCTGCTGGATACCCGAAGTTCCCTCTTCCCACGACTTAGCGCCCATTTATTCCACCTAGAAAACACAAACGGACTCGGTTCGCATGGGTTCGGGCGAAGTCCCGGCCCCGTCGCTACCCGCGTTCACCTCTAACCCCTGGGGACCCAGGGCCACGTCCACGAGGATCGAGGAAAGCCCTGCCTGCGACTCACTTCTTTCGGAACTCGGACGCCACGTCGAGCTGCGCGGTGTCTGCGCCTAGGAAGGCAAGCGAGCCTAGGCACAGGAGGGCGACGGGAACCAGCTTCATCCCGGCGGCGATGCGCAGACCCCTGGGGAGGGAGAGACAGGAGTGTGAGCTCCGGAACCTGCCGCACCGCCCAGGCTGGGCATCGAGGGCGGGCAGGGGCCCCGGCGCGGGCAGCGTCAGCCCGCGTCTGCCTGGCTCGGACGCTTATCTCCCCGGGGCGCAGAGAGGCGCCAGCGGCATTTGCACTCGCCGAGCGGGTGACAAGGCCCCGCAGGGGAGGCCTCTGCCCAGCGCCAGGTTCCCTGCTCAACTCTTCGGAATTCGGCTGACCGAGCAGAGGGGTCTGGAGTTCCAGTTGTGTGCACGAGCGGGACCCGGGATGTGGGGCGCACCCTTGCCAAGGACTGCTCACCCAGCGCTCCCAGTCTCCCGCCTGGGCAAGGGACCCCTCTTCACACGCCCCGCCTGCCGCACCTACCTGCTGAGCGCAGGATCTGCCAAGATCTGGGAGGAGAAAGTTCGAGACGGCGCTCTGGCTGTGACAAAACCCCAACGTCCCAGCTGCAGCGAGAAACCAGAGGTGGTAATGCTCCAACTGTTGCGTCTAGTGTCACCCAGAAACCTCTGAGTGGCTAGCGCCGGTTCCCCTGCTTTATAGGAGCTCAGGGGGCGGGGCCTGGGCTGCCCTCCCGCCCTCCCTCCCTCTCTTCCTTCCAGCGTGCGCGCTCCTAGATCGCGCGCGCTCATCGCTTGCCTGTGGGTGTGGGGTATGGAGTTTGGGGTTGAGGGGCAGGGGTATCCTTATGCCCAGAGGGCTTAGGGGTGAGCCTCAGGAGACGGGTGCAGGCATTTCCACAGTCCCGACTCTGGGCACAGGGTTCACATCGTAATCCCAGGCCAAGCAGGGCCGGTACAACCTCGTGGGGTCTTTCCCGAATATGTCTGCAGCCTACCGTGCGAGGCCTCCTGGCGTGGAGCTGCTAGAGCCAGAAGGGCTACCACGCAGATGGGCCAAGCCCGGCTCTCGGTAGCTGCGGTCTCCAGTGGACCGCGCCCTCTGCCGGCTCCGAGTCTGAGCTGGCCGCGACCCCAGACTCCATCAGAGCAGCAGGCACAGGGCACAAAGCGTAGCCTAGAGGAGCGGGTCTCGCCAACACCCACCCCCTAGAGCGGCAGAGACTCCGGGGTTCTGGAATGGGCTGGTAAGATTTCACAATAGGGCAAGGCTCAGCGAGGCTAGTTTGAGAATTGGGGTGGGGAGGGGGTATTTTAAGTTTCAGAATTCCCGTGCCTATTTGGAAATACAGGAATCACCAACATTAGGGAAAAAGATACCATTTCGGTTTCCCTCCCCCTTGTAATCCAATTATTCCTTATAAGGTTACAACCTGAGTTTGCCTGGCTGCCTCAGACCCTTCATTCACCGACTCTCAACGTGAGGATTCACTGCCAGGGAGCACACCAATGCTTCCCCCAGTTAAAGGCTACAGTTTACAAAGCACGGCCACATCTCGGTCCCCTTTGAGCCTCACACCTCACACCTCCCCTTGAATTACGCGAGGAAGGTGGCCTTACTTTCCTCATTGCACTAAGTGGAAAACTCAAGTTCAGAGGGAGAATGTATGTGTCCAAAGTCACACCGAAGGCAGTCTCAGCAGCAGAGTCCCACCTCAGCTGGCAAGCAAGCCCGGGAACCTGGGGCGCGGCGAGGATTGTTCTACGCTAGGGTCATCCTCTCCTCAAACGGGGGAGGAGAGCGCGAGCCCCCGCCCAAGCTTTTATGCCTGTTCACGATGAATCACCCTCAAGCACGTTTGTCACCCCTTTGTACTCTCCCATCACTGCTTCTTGACTCTGCTTTCTTACTTGTCTTTTGGGGACCAAATCCGGGAGGGAACTCAGCCCCAAGAAAGGCTCCCTGCTTCTTGAGTGCGAGCCCGTGGTGTCCCATCACCCACTCACTACCCCAGTCGCAGGTCCCGAAGCCCAGTGCCTAGACCGGGAGGCCGAGGGCGCGAGGAGCGAGACCACGAGGACGCTATTGCAATTCGCGGTGTGAACGTGGGCAAGTCACGTCCCTCCTCTGGTTGCCCCACCTGTAACCTGCCCCCAGCAGGTCTCTCAGCCTCTTGCCCGCTCTGCCGGCTGGTTCTGCCATACAAGGACAGGCGGCGGGGCGCCGGGTCACGCGGACCTTTCCTGGACTGGGCCGCGCGCTACTGGCTCAGATGCCCTTTTCATTTCCCAGAACCGTGGACATTGCACCTGGGGAAGATAAGGGCGTGCCACAGTAGTTTCGTCTGAGGACTCTTCCTCAAGTCACCTGAGCGGACCACCTGAGTTTCAGCTGAGGACAGGGGCAGATTCCTGGCCCTGGAGGGTCAGGGCGGTGCAGCGCAGCCTCCTGGCTGGCCGCAGGGCAGTCACCGCGGCAGACCCGGCCAGGCGGTTAATTGTCCACACCGCAGACAGCAGGTATGACTGCAAGTCTGCTCTGTTTCCAGCAGCCTCCCCGTCCTGTTTGGTTTTTCTTGCTTGTCTCCCAGGTCCCATCTCTTCCTCTTCAGTGCGTCCCCTGTTGACTAAGTCAAGCTCATCGCACAGACCCTGTCCAGGACGGGCTGTCTGTCTTGTCTCAGGGATGGATGCGCCCCGATTTGTCGCCAGCTTTCAGCTGGGTCCGCGCCAGAACAAGGTTTTACTTTCATTTCCCAGGCGCGCGCCTCTGACTACTGGGGAGGTCAAGGACAGCTGGGCGCCGGCCTACAGCCAGGGAAGGTCGCGTGGTCTGGATTCCCCTTCCAGTTCCCACCAGCCCTGGGAGGTTTGGTCTGCAGAGGACTCTGCTGCTGTACCTCCTTGTCTCCTATGTCCTTTAGGAAAGCCTCTAATCCCACAGAGGTGAACAGGCTCTAGCTCTGGCTACGGGATCAGGGAGCATGCTCTAGTTGTAAACTTCGCTCTGAGCTTTGGGCGGCTTGGGCAAAGCAAACCCAGGAGTGCAGACTCGGATCTGTGTCTCTCCCTCCTCCCCGCCCTCCCAACCCCCCTCCCGCACCCGCCAGCAGCTCGGTCGCGGTGCCAGAAACTCTCACTAGAGAGCCTTGGCACGCTCCTTATCAGCCCAGGTGCGCGGTGTAGCTCAGGGGCGTAGAAATCCCGTGCTTGACAGCCCTGACAATTCTTTCTTTAGAGTTCTAGGTTGGCATTGGCAGCTCCGGAATTTGCTAGCCCATTCGTATCTGGAGAGGAGAGGAGAGGAGAGGAGAGGGGAGGGGAGGGGAGGGGAGGGGAGGGGAGGGGAGGGGAGGGGAGGGGAGGGGAGGGGAGGGGAGGAGAGGGGAGGAGAGGAGAGAGATCCTGGGATATAAGTAGAAAAAAGCTATAAAATTTGCCAAATATTGGCATCTATTTAATTTCCGTGGAACCGCGGGTTCGCTTATTTAATCATCGCAGAAGAAAAAAAATATTACTAGGATGCGTTTTCGGTTAAATGGTCAGATCTAGAAGGAAACACCACAGTGGGAGTTCTGCTGATTTGTTAATGTGGAGTTTCATCTATGCAAGTTACAGTGATTATAGATTCACACTGAGTACAAGGAAGGAAGGAAGGAAGGAAGGAAGGAAGGAAAGAACATCTTTAAAATCTCACTGGCAAGAGAAAAGAATTCTGGTTAATAAGAACCCACATTTTTTTTGTGCCCAAGAATTTTTAAAAGGTCAGATTGTAAATAAACCCCAACGCACTGTAATAAATGTGTGTATCCTAATCTTATATATACAGACATACAAATATGCTGAAGGCTTGTTGTATAATGATGTCTTAACTTTTTCTTCACCTTGCAACTGAATTATTTTTAGGCCCTAGGTCCAAGCCTTTTTCTTAGTAATGTTTGGAATTTTAAAAAATTTGTGGTGGTGGCTTCTCAGCTAACATGGACACAATTCCTAAAGCCAGTGTGAGCACACTCAGGTCACGTAGAAAAGTAATGAGAAGCAGTAAATGATATTAATGACATTAATAAGAACAAAAGTGCATAGCTAAATGCATTGCATAATTATTTCAGATGCTTCTTTTTTCAAACAGGACATTTTATAATGCATTTACTATTCATATGGTTCAGAATGCCTCTGCTAACCTGAGTGCTTGTTTACCAAGTTCATTTGAAAACACAAAGTGGGGTTAGAGAAAGGACACAGTCAGCTTTGTGGATTTGCTCACCCACATGGAGAAGTAAAGAAGGATACAAAGCAAAGCTCAGGGCACTTTTGAGGGTTCTTTAACTTCTTCAAGGAGCTAATAAAATATAGGTCTTTTCCAGAAAAAATGCACATGTACACAAACCAATTTAAATTAGGCATACAGTTGCAGGAGGTTGACCAAGCTAAGAATGCTGACACAGAATAAAGACCACTGTTTCTATAGCATTCATTGGAGTGATGGAGTATTAAAGGGCAGTTAACACCTCTCTTTAGGGCATAATATTTTTCCAGAGCATCAGCATAAAGAAAAGTAATGCTTTTGCTGCCTCATTTTTGTGCTCCTGCACAAAAATGTAAAGAATGTAAGTTGATATAGGACAAATGAAAGAGAACACAGAGAAGATGGTTAACATATAGAAGCTTGTTATACTAACAGCTATAACAAGCTATAACAGAACAAGATGAAATGACTTTGAGATAAATTTACTATTGATGGAACAATGAGTGGCATTCATAAATGGATTATAAAAGAGATGATTGGCCCCTTTGGAGTTATCCCTAGACAATGAGAATGGCTACCTGCATCCAGGTAGGGATCTTGTACTATCAGATTAGAGCCATTGGAATGAGGCACTTCTTATGTATGGGCCTGCATGACTTGAAAGTTCCTTCATTCCTTTAACAGATATTTACTGAGCATGTCTAGCTCTGTGCTAAGTACTGAGCACACAGTAATCATAAATGCAAACATCATTCTTACCTTCATTCAACATGCTTACATCAAGGTGGGGTAGCCAGTCATAAATAAATCCTCATAGGAATAAATACGTGGCTATAAACTGTGGTAAGAGTTCTGAAAGAAAAGCAAAACTAGCGGGGCCTAATGTTCCAAATGGAGGAAATGGCATGTACAAAGGCTTAGAGATGAGAAGGAATTTGGTACATTAGAGGAAAATGAAAGGAGGCCAGTATAGTTGGAATGTATCAAGTGAAGAAGAGTGATGTGAAATGAGATTAAATAGGTCATCAGGATTAAAGTAAACAGTACATTTTGGGACATGTTAAAAATTATGCACTTTATTTATAGTGATGTGGGAAGTTCTTGACAGGCTTGAAGAGGGGAGAGACATGACCTGATATACATTTACTTAAAAGGTCATTTTGGCCATCAAATGTGGTGGATGGATTAGGGAGGAGGGAAGCATTGATAGTGCCCTGGAGTGGAGAGGGCCCAGTTCCCCCATAATCTCTATTAATCTACCCTTGCGCGCACACACACAAGCACACACACGCACAGCACACACACATGCACACGCACACACACACACTCTAAACTTCACCAACAGAACCAGTTTGCACCATGGACATGCAGCCTGTTCAGTTGCACAGGGCCCTGCACTTGGTTTAATGCTCTGCTTGTTACTATTTTGAAAAA